GTTGGACGTTGTTAACCGGGTATGAATGCGTTATTCGTTTTTATTTTTCGCTCAATGTCTAGGATTGTCGATTACGGTGGTTAGAAATTGTTATTTTTTGGCGGATGATGTTTGTTTGGAAGAGGATTGACAGAGTTAGATGAGGATGGTTCACGCATATCGGACCAGAGTTGTTTTATATGAACATCGTAGTTGGTTTACGCATTAATTGAAATAACTGTCTGTTGTCGTGGAGTTCATGAGTCTGATCCCGGTCGATAGTTGGATTATTTGTTTATAACAGCCGATTTAAGTGTGTTGGGTAGTACATTAAAATATAGTTCGTAGTTTTTTTTAAATTAGCATATGGATTTTGCATTTTAAGTTTATTTTTGATGATATTAATGTATTGTCATTCAAATGTATTTGCAGTCTATTTAATCATTTTTTAGTATTCTGCATTTTTTGTTTTGTTTCATGATTTTAGGTTTTTTCGATGGCGAACTTCGTACGGATTTTGTTGAGGTTTGGTGGGTTGGTTGCTATAAAGAGGTGTTTACGATGTAATGGCTCGGTAACTTCGGTTAAGTTTTAAATCGTTGTAATACAGTAGTATACTATTATGAATACCGTATGATACTACCATTATCATTTTATTATACTATTATGAGATTATTAATGTACTAGAGTTTTTTAACTCGACACATTAGTTTGATTGTGTTATGATGTGTTTTATGTATTTTATCAAAACCCTAGATTGAAATTATGAGATTATTAATGTACTATTTTATTGGTTATGTTGGAATACTTTACGTTGGTGTTGTTCTCAATGTTCTTGTCATTTCAGTGGTATATTGTTTGTAACACAATTCATATCACTACTATAACCGTAATATACTATCATAGCAGATTAATGTACTATATTGAAATTATTAATATACTATGTGGTTGAATAATACGGGATCCATAGTAAATAAACGAGATCCATAGTCGAATTAGATCAATAAGATAGTCTATTACATGATATAAGGAAAATTACCCTAATTGATTAGTATTTCAAGCAAACATATTATTCAGTTTCCATATATATTATTATTTTTTCATATATATTATTATTTACCTTAATCGTTTTCATATAATAAGGAAAATTACCCTAATTGATTAGTATTTCAAACAAACATATTATTCAGTTTCCATATATATTATTATTTTTCCAATAGTCAATTAACTAAATCCATAGTCGAATTAGATACATGGGATAGTCTATTAAAAGATATGAGATAGTCTATTAATTTTAAAACACAAATCCGCCGCCGTCACTTCTCAAATTTAGGGTTTTGATGATTCTTCGGCCCATAGTCGATTAACGAGATCCATAGTAAAATTATACCAGTGGGATAGTCTATTAAATGATATGGGATAGTATATTAATACAGATGTAATTCGACTATGCATCTCGTTAATCAACTATGGGCCGAAGAATTATCAAAACCCTAGATTTGAGTAATCCTAGATTTGAGTAACCCTAGATTGGAGCAGTGACGGCGACGGCGACGGCGGCGGCCAACGACGATAACACTTCTGGTGGATGTTTTGCCCATCAATCTTTGCAATATCACTGATTTAGTGCTCGAATTCGGTATGCGATTATAACAGATCTGCAATTACACAAACGTAATAGTCGATTTAGCCAAAACATATCAACAAATCGATGGATGATAGCGATTCAGCGAGTGGCGACGACGTACCTACGACAGCTTGCTCGGAGTGCACGAAAATCGTCGTTTCACGGCAGTGCAGACGTCTTCCCCTTTCAATCGGCCGTACCGGGAAGTTGTTTCTAAGAGGTTTTGCAGTTTATTCGATAGTGGGTTTGGGATGATAGTGATTTAACGGGAAAATAAGAAGGGATTTGATTTTATTTCAAAAGGTAAAATAACGGGTTTTGTGGGATTTGATTGAGGGTAATTATGTAATTAGGAAAAGTTTGGGCTGTTATCAAAATGGCAAATATAAATTTGGGTCTACCCCTATTATTTGAATGTTTAAGGGGGTTATATCTAATAGACCCTAAAAAAAATTATTAAATAAAAAATTATGATATATGCAGTACAAAAATACTAAATGCAGGTCCAAAATGATAAGTACAGTTTGTGAAAATGTTGAATGTAGTTGGACAAAAATTGCAAATAAGGGCACAATAGTACTTTTGCATCTCCGGGATATCTCAAAAGAAGATTTTTAGAGGTAGACATATCCCTATATATTTTTCATATGAGGGGTGTTTATCAAATGGACCCTTATATTTTTGTAGATGTTAATTCCATACTAAAATAAATTTATATGCCCCAAATTTAATTTGTGAAATGATATTAAACATTATAATATTTTTTAGAAACTATGAATGCACCCGTATATTTTTATTATTTACACGTTTCCTCCACGTTCCCGTATCCAACTTTTTGGAAAACAAAGTTTTCCCGCTTCCGTTTCCCTGTTTTCCCGTGTCCGTGCTACATAGATTGAACTTGATTAATGTTAAATTGGATATTAATTTAATTAACATAGAAATTTAAATTGAATAATATACATTAATGTGTTTGATTACATAAAGATGACGTTATTACCATGTAGTTATTATTATTTGATTTTTATATTTGAAATAGTTAAGAAAAATACATAAAAATAAAATTTTGAAATACAATGCGAGACTACATTAACATCTAAAATTTTCAATATTCATACCAAAAAAATACTTATGATGTCGACTTCTAAATAACGATAAACCATGTGTCGGCCCCAGCCTCCTACATCAGTGGACTGGAAACATCGAAATCAACATTAACATTCGGTAACGGGAGATATGTCCAAAAAAGGGTGATCTGCTAGTAATCAAAACAGCACTTTGATGATATAATTAATAATTAATCAAACCAGTTTAGGCAGAAATAGGACAGACAAATCATAAACTCAATGGTAGGGAAGTAGAACATACTTGTGGAATTTTCCAAATTCGAAAGCTTTGTAACACAAACCACATTAAGTTAAGACCTCAGATCGAACTGCAATTTGAAGCTTCCGATAAGACTCTAAAAACTCAAACCGAACTTCCGATAAGAATATATAACTTAGCATCACTATCGTACTCAACACAGTCCAAACCATCATATGTAGCAACCGAACTTGTCAAAACATAACATGAAATTGTCATACACGCAAATTTTACGAAAAGACGGAGATATGCTCAAAGCTCGAAACACTTTCCTTTTCCAGAAATCCTATGACCGCGCAGAAAACAAATCCAACCCCAGCCAACAACCAGACCAGGATGGGAAAGCATGAACAAAATCGAAACCACGGGATATTAAATTGCATATTAAGCAAACATCATAAATACCTTGTCGGATCAATTATCATTCAAAGAAGTCCTAGACAGTACATCAGAGAAAGGAAACAAATGACAGACGCTCCCGATAATTAGAATGTAAGAAGACCAGTAAAACCTCTCAAATCAGAACCACCAACAGAAAGGCACGAAACATAATAATTATATTATGTTTTATATCTTAGTAATTCGACAAATTAAGAATCCATCTGGTACGTCAACTAAAACCTATGATACTAAAATTAATTAAATAATAATATTTTAGTTGATATTTGACAAATTTAAAATACAGTTGATGATAAAATTATCTTCTGATTGCATTGGATTGAAACTAGCCATTTCGGGTAATAACAATAATAATAAAACTTACACTACCAATAATATAAAGGGGAAATGTAGGATACCTCCCTAGTTTTTAAAATATATAGGGATAGGTCCTATGAATTTTCTTTTATAGTCAAAAACTCAAATTCTAATCTTAATTTGATAGACCCCTAGACAAATTAAAATACCCGTTTTGCCCTTTTAGTTACAATTTAAAACCCTAACCTTTTCTCTCACTCCCTCCCACATTTTTTTCCAGCCGTCATTTCTCCCTCTCCCGCTCTCTCTTCATCTCTTTCTTTCTTTCTCTCTCCTCTTTCTTTCTCTCTCTTCATTTCTCACTCTTAACTCTCTCTTTGTGGCTGCCCACAGCCCTCCGCGGTTGCTCCCCCACCTCCTTGCTCCGCCGCTCCCCTCACCTCCTTGCGTTGCCGCCGTCGCCGCTCCACCACCGCCTTGTGCCGCTGCTCCGCTGCCACCTTGAGCCGCTGTGCCACAGCCTTGTGCCGGCCGTCGTTGCTCATCCCACCGCCTTGAACTCCGTATTAAACCATCCACTTCACCTTTTTAAGTTATTTTTTTTAATTTACGAATGTCCATCCATTTTTAATTTATTTTTTCAAAACAAATAAATTAAAAAAATAACTTAAAAAAATAAATTGAAAAAATAACTTAAAAAGGTGAAGTGGATGGTTTAATACGGAGTTCAAGGCGGTGGGAGGAGCAACGACGGCCGGCACAAGGACGTGGCGGAGCAGCGGCGCAAGGCGGCGGCGGAGCAGCGGCACAAGGTGGTGGTGGAGCAGCGACTGCGGCAGCGCAAGGAGGTGAGGGGAGCGGTGGCGCAAGGTGGGGAGCAGCCGCGAAGGCGGAGGGCTCTGGGCAACCACAGAGAGAGAGACAGGTAGAGAGAGAGATGAAGAGAAAGAAAGAAAGAGAATAGAGAAAGAGATGAAGAGAGAGAGAGAGAGAAATGGAGAGAGAAAAAAAGAGAGAGTGTGAGAGGGAGAAATGACATTCATCTGCTGCATAAATGGGGTAGCTCCAAGTGAAACACTTAACTCCCAAAATCATAGCCCTTCAAAATGTTAACCCAAACCCCATAATATATTAACCAAGATTGGAATCTGCAGTAAGGGGTCAAAAATCCTTCAAAATGTTAACCCAAACCCCATAATATATTAACCAAGATTAGAATCTGCAGTAAGGGGTCAAAAATCTTCTTAGATTGAAGCCACAAAATATCAACTCGAATTAGATCTCCAAAGATGTCACCACAAGTCCAGTTCCAGGTCCATGCAGGAAAGATCTCCAAAGATAAGAACAACTATAAAACAGAACTAAGTAAAGCAACACATATCTAACAAACACAACCCAGAAACTAAACATATCACAAAGTACGTCAACTTCCTCATTATGTCGTGATCCAATCAGTAGCTAAGACTCTGAACCTCAAATCCAACTTCATGCAAAGTTAAGACAAAATGAAACAGACGGGTAAAAAACACAGAAGGTAAATAAATCATCAATTAGATCTCGAGACGAAGACCACAAGCAACGACAATAATGCCCCCGATGAACTCATTTTAAGCAGCAAGCAAGGCATGAAGCAAACAAAGGGGCATTTTCGTAATAGTGAGGAGGTTCCATGTATGGATCGGGAAATAAAGAAAGCTTGTCATAATTCTGAGCATGGGCTGTTTTCGTGTGTAACTTGTGGGATTTTGTGTTTTGCGTGTGTTTTTATTGTTCAGCCTACAGAAGCAGCAGCTCGTTACATAATGTCGGGTGATTGCAGCATATTTAATTTTTGGGAAGAAAGTGATAATGAACACAATGACATCAGAGACGCAAAGGCTCCAAACGCAAAGCTTTCTTCTTCTTCAGGTATATTTCGTTGTGAAATCTTTTTGCTTTCGTATATATAGGATAAAATGATATGGCTTTACTTACAATTGGAAGTCTCGACTTTGCAGCTTTGATGCTTAGAAAGACACACAGTGGACGTGTTTTTGGCGCCCCATTATCGGTGGAAAAAGAAAACAGTGTAGGTGTGGTTTCCGAAAAGGCACAAAAAGCGCCCTCGTTACTTGGCCTATTAGCTTTAACAAATGCCGATTTGTCGGACTCTGAAGAGGAGGACGAGAATGAAGCTGCTGCTGATATTTCTTTCCAAGGCGGTGGAAATTGTAAAATCGATAGCCCTGAAAATGACACTGATTTACGAATATCTGATTCTAATACGAAATCCTATGACCGCGCAGAATTAAAAAAAAAAATCAAACCAGCCAACAACCAGACCAAGATGGGAAAACATGAACCAAATCCAAACCACATGATATTAAATTTCATATCACTCCATAACCAAACATCATAAATACCTTGCCAGATCAATTATCATTCAAAGAAGACCATAGAGAAAAGAAACATACAACAGAGGCTCCCGATAATTAGACTGTAAGAACAGTAAAACCACCCAAATCAGAACCACAAACAGAAAGGCACGAAAGAATTTTAGATAAAACACAAGTTAGATTATCTTCCCCCATTAAGTATCCATCACATCTGTAGATTTACATAAGAGACTCTGAAGCTCATTTTCCAATGGTTTGCTTAAGAAATAGTAAAATCAGATTCATCATTCCTATAGAAGATGTAGTTTCAGATAGTAAAATTGAACTACGACACAAAATTAAATTATCTTCCCGCTTAGTCAATAGGCCAGAGTAATGCAGATGGAACTAGCAAAAATTTATTTAATACCCAAAAGAGAAGGCCCACCGTCATTTTTGTCGCAAATGTCTGCAGACAGAAAGGAAAAGAAGAACAGAGGATTTGAAGATTGATTTGAAAGCAATATGACCGTATAAAATAGTAATATGAAAATTGGACCGTATAAGGTTGAGGGAGACATAAGAAACTACTATCTCAAAGTACCGGAGACGCATCTCAATAAGCCACTACCTGCCGATCAAAACACAATTTGCAACCAGAAGCAAGAAATTTTTCATGAGATAAATAAATCAGAAATTAAATTATCTACCCCCATCATGTCGTCCGTTAATAAGACTCAATCTCAGATCCAACTGCACTAATCCATCTTTTGCTGAAGATGGAACTAAAATACAAACAAAAGCTACCATGGGAGGACATCCACCATCAATTTTCGAGAGGAAAAGGAAAGCCGGGATAAGGAGAAAATACTCAAACTTTAAGTTGTTTCTTCTACCAAACATCATATTTTAACCATTTCCTTCGAAACTAACGGACAAGAGAGAACATAATCCAAACCCACACAATCGTAAAATCGCCCAAATAGATTTGAAAACATTTGAAGATTGAATGAGAAGGATTATGTCTACATAAGAATATACAATCTGGAACTGACAAAAACCCACTGATCAACATTGTACACGATCAAAAACAAAAGAAAGATTTTAAGCTAATTAAATCACAAAATAAATGATCTTCCCATCATCAGATCCAACCGAGATCTCTAGCTCAAGCAATTGGCGATCCTATCAACAATATTCAGTTGTACATAAGCTCCTATCCACATTATCCAGTTGTAGTAAAATGAGATCCATCGTTGTAGTTGCACAGATAGCTTAGCTCCATAAAATAAAGATGAAACCTTTCCTAAAACCACAAAACACAAAGTACCAAATAGTAATAAAGCAGTAAAGCAGTAAAGCAGTAAAGGGATTTAAAAGAGATAATAAAAAAAATTGTGATCTAAAGTTAGAAAAATAAGGAGGATAGGGGGAGAGAGAGAGAGAGAGAAAAGCGAGATTGAACAATATCTTCAACTGACGGGTGTCTTAGAGCCGAGTTCCTACTTGAATACAACACCTGTGGATGAACACAACACAGTCCAAAGCAAAGATCGAAGGTCGAGGAATATCATATTGCACATATATATCATAAGGAGAATCAAATCTTAATCAGCAGAATTTAGCATCCGGTGGTAGAGACTTTACCAGACAGTCTACTTGGAATCAGCCAAAATATCTTATCTGAACCGACCTCAGAACAACACAATTGTCATATAAACACAATTACTTCTTCGACAAAGAATCTTTTTCATAAGAGAATCAAATCTTAATCAGCCGCACAGCGAGAAGGTTCTTTTCTTCAGCTTGAAGATCCAATGGCAGAGAATCATGTATATGCAGATCAAAAGGACGAAACTGCTTAGAATTGTCATATAAATACAATTACGAAAAAAAAGGAGAACATACTCAAAGTGCTTTCTTCTACAAGGAATCTTTTTCAAACCAGGTTGAGCAAAAATCAAATCAGACGATTACATAAAACACAATCCAATCGCATAACGCAGGATAATAAACAAACCCCTTGTTGATGCATAGCCGGATCAAAATCAAATCACAATCAGACGGCCTCGCAAATACACGGCGGCGGTGAATCACAAAATAACCCCAAATCAGGACCAATAATCAGACGGTATCGCCAAAGAGAATGGATAATCGCAGCCGAATTGAATTGCGCAGATTTCATAGCGACGACGATACATATAATAAACAGAAGCAATAATCAAACAAAAGGCGATCAAACCAATAACAAAGACAAGAGACGAAGGAATGAGTTACGATTGTAGGAGGGGGATGGGTATTTATAGAAGAGTCGGTGTTGAGTGGACGGGTGAGATTAATCTGATCGGAGGGTCAGAAAAGAGTACTTATTCTTCTCGCTTACGCATATTAGTATTTTATTCTTTTTTATATATATATATATAATTATTTTCCAAATATGAGTCCACCTCCACACGTTTCTTGAATTTCATTCAAACTTGGGCTGTAGTGTTTTTTTTTTAGATTAATATGGTAAATAAGCTATTTTACTCAAAACAAAAAATTATTAATTAATAAAGGATGAGATTCTATTTGAAATTTGATTATTTTAATGAACATTAAGAGGAAACTAGTATTTCACCTGTGCGTTGGACGGGGTCAGTTTCAAAATGAGAAAAATAAATTTATGTAAACGACTATCTCTTTATAACGGTGACAATTCAAGTAAAACAAAATGGAAGGAAATAAAAAACATAAACTTTATCTCTTAATGTAGAGTTGTTACATATGAAATTAAGTTAAATATTACAAAGAAGAAAACTTGAAGCGCGCAAAATACCATATCAAGATTAAGTGAAATCATTTAAAACATATGGTATAACACTATTTCTTGGATTGCAATCTACTACACCATGTGAATCTTCTGCAAAATAACTAAGGTAACAACAAACACGGTAGCAGAGAAGTAACACAATAGATATTAAAATAACCTGCAAGTTTATCATTAACGACATTCAATTAGTGATGCGCATTACTCAAACAACAATACAACTTATAAATATTGCAAAAGAAATATGATGTGTACGCCACTACCAGTACTGATACTGATATGCCTAATTGGGCCAACCCAATGGGCCTACAATTTCTTTACCTAATGGGTCACAAACCCAATATTGAAGACCACTACTACCGATGCCCAATTACCTTCAAATAGGGTTTTGGCCCGACAATCTCAACTAATTAAACTTCAGCCCAATCAATGAGCTATAAATAAAGGTTTGAACTCATTCCTTAAGGTACGTCCTATTAACTGAGTAATACTACCAACTGTATTCTCTGGACTATTTCCACTATCCGCACGTCTTGAGCGTCGAAGGGGTTTCCGCCGGATCAACCCCCGGCCTAGTTCACGTGTTCTATGATCGCAGGTATCTCAAGGTCATCAAGCTCGTGAGCCAGTGATCCATTCTGCTCTTCCAGCTCATCCTACTTCAACTATCTAAGGTGATCTAACTTTAACATCATCATTTTGGCACCGTCTGTGGGAAGGCAAACAAGATCACGTAGCGCGCAAGATGGCCTTGAGACTTCTGCTCGGGGGAGTGTGACACTACTAACAACCACCCACGTCGTGGAGGCTCTGGCTTGCCACTTCCTCCTCCCCATGCTCGGGATCCACCACGAGATCCTCCTCGTGATGTCCCACTAGATCCTCAACAGGATCCACTTATTCCCGCCCCTCGATCGGTTCAGACAACCGAGGAGGCCCTTCAACGCTAGCAAGGGTTATCGACTCCCTGGGGCTTACCTCTGCCCCCAAAATATTTCGTTCGCCAAGGATTATTGACTCCCTGGGGGCTTACCTCTGCTCCCAAAATATGTCGTCCGCCAAGGGTTATCGACTCCCTGGGGCTTACCTTTGACCCCTAAATATTTCGTTCGCCAAGGGTTATCGACTCCCTGGGGGCTTACCTCTGCCCCCAAAATATTTCGTTCACCAAGGGTTATCGACTCCCTGGGCTTACCTCTGCCCCCAAAAAAATTCGTTCGCCAAGGGTTATCGACTCCCTCGGGGTTTACAGTGCCCCCAAAACATTTCGTTCGCTAAGGGTTATCGACTCCCTGTGGGTTTATAGTGCCCCCAAAACAAAATGGAAAATTATCCCCAAATGGTGGACATCAATAAAAAAAAATAAAAAAAAGAAAAAAAAGAAAAAATCAGAAGATAGAAGGCGAAGAAGATGAAGAAAAAAGAAGTAGAAGAAAAAAGGAAAATAAGATGAAGAAAAAAGAAGAAGAAAAAAAAAAAAAAAAAACGCGCGTGCACAGCACGCGCGTGTGGCTTACACGCGCCAGGCGCGCACGCGTCAGCAGCAAGAAAAAAAAAAAAAAAAAAAAAGAGGAAGAAAATTCAAAAAACGCGTGCAAAGCACGCGCCAATCGCGCGACCAGAGGGGCGCGCACGTCAGCCAAAAAAAAAAAGAAAAAAATTATTAAAAGCAGCAGGCAGCAGCCGCACGTGCCAAGTTGCACCACCCATCACATCCATTCACTCATTTGCATCAGCTCCCATCACATCCGCGTGCCTCCCTATACATCATCATCAAATCGCGCGCGCCTCTCTATACATCATCAAATCGCGCGCGTGCCTCCCCATACCACATTAATTCGTGCGCGCACATCCTTCCACTCATCTAATCGCCTGCAACTTGCACTGTGTACCGCCAAATCGCGCGGGAATTTCAACAAGTTCTACCAAATGGCGCAAGGATTCCAACGCGCCCCACCCAATAATGCTCGCACTCCACAAAGAAAATAAAAATTATTATTTCTCCACACCACGCCAACAATTAATGGTACACCACAACACCGATCTACTCTCGACACGGTCTGGTATTCTTTTCGACGCGACTCCCACATCGAATCGAGAGTGGGGGGCTTGCAAGACTCCCACGAGGAGACCACTCGCTCCGTCATATAACCCGTTGCGAGGCAACTCCCACGAGGAGCCAACTCCCTTGGGTCTACGAAACCACAGCGAGATAACTCCCACGAGGAAACCACTCGCTCGGTACTACAACCCGCAGCGAGACAACTCCCACGAGGAGAACTCTCGCTCGGTACTACGAACCCGCAGCGAGACAAATACTTATCATATTCTCTAATTTTCCCAGTAAATACTTATCATATTCTCCTACAAAATAGGAGCACTTGAAAAAAGAAAAACCTCAACAAAATTGAATTTTCTTTTCTTTACGTAAAAATCTCAACATAATAAATTAAATTCTCTACCTCTTCAACAAATTTTCACTGGAAATAAAATCTCAAAAATATCTCAACATAATTTTATTTTTCTACAGAGCTTCAACAAAGTTCCACGGAAAAAAAAAAAAAAAATCTCTATGTATATACAAATTTTCTTTTTTCTGTTTTGAAAAGGTAAAAACTTGATTATTATTGATTTTGAGGATAATTTACCAGAAAAATCGGTTTGTATGGTTATTTAAAATGGATTAAAAAATAAATAATATACAAATAATCATAAATTTGTTTGATAATTGTTTTTTAATACTTGTGGGTGGAGTGCACTGGTTGTATAGAGATATCAAAGTATAATCCTACTTATCAAATGAGTATTTGATATCAAAAAATGAGTTATCAAATAAGTATTTTATAACCCCATTTGATAACAATGGGTTGTAGTTGCTCTAAGGTGAGTTAATTTCCTTATAAATAAGACACACTTGTAAAGACATGGTTATTGAGATGCTATGACTGGTCATATATACCGGATATTTTTTAACTATTGATGTGATTAAATAATCACCCATTAAACACACACAAACATGGGTGTGTGTGATTATGTGCAGATCAACTGTTAATAAACACCCGATGTATTTCACCGGGTGTAGCATCAAATAAACCGTAAAGACATAGAACACACTTGAGAAGACAAGAAAGAACAAAAAATAAGAAAAAGTTTCTATTTCCTTGTACTTGAGCTCTCATACGCTTATTTTGTTTGAATCGTTTAGTTTTTAATACATGTTATCGGTACTTCCTTGAACTGGTAAGGATCATAGGTTTAATATAGATAAAATGATTTACGCGGTACTAAAATTACGAATACGTTCACAATATGCTTTTTCTTCTCTCCCAAAACCCCCCAAAACCTCCAAAACTCTCAAGAACTAAATCACTCATATGTTAATTATAATTTGATTATTTCGTTAATTACATGTGAAAATCCCCTACAAATCGAATTATTCATTAAATACTTATCAACTATAAATTATTCATTAATCAATAATTATAATTAATTTATTTCATTATTATTATTATTATTATTATTATTATTATTATTATTATTATTATTATTATTATTATTATTATTATTATTATTATTATTATTATTATTATGATTATTATTATTATTA